CCCCAAAACCCCAAAACCCCAAAACCCCAAAACCCCATTTTTATAACGCAATTTTGAATTATCTACCGAAATAATTTGTCTTGAATAACTTTTTCTGGGACACAGGACCTCTGCTCAGAGTCCTGAACTTTTGGCTTGATGAAAATTTGGCAATGTTGCCTTCCCCAGTGTTGACCCTCTGGAATCCAGTGGAAGAAGCAAACCTTTGCATGGTTTTCTTACTACTTGGTTTGAATACTTTAGTTGGGGATTCTGAAGTTCCGTTATTAGTGAGCATATGAGTTAGTATATCTTTTGTGTATTTCAATCTCTTTGACATTTCAAAATTACCTCAATCAACAGCTTGACTGAGATGGTATGAATTCCTCTCACCCTTCTTATTAACATAAGTAACCATCCTAGTTTCTGAGCTCAGGATTATTTCTGTGTGATCTTGGAAGTTTACCTGCACTATCTTGTTGCTTAGTCTGAACATGACAGCATGCTTAGTGCGGACCCATTTATTTGACATAGACTATATCTGAGATATTTCTCTCATTCTCTTTTGAATTCTCAGCATCATTTTGCTCTTTCTCAATTGAATCATTGGGAGTATTATTCTTAGACTCTGTTTCCAAATAATTCTTAAAATGCTGCAATAGAGTAACCTTTTTGCTAAATTCTTCCGGATAATCACTCATAGTATGTGTATGGATCACTTCTTGCTTATCGGAGACTTTTCTTTCAATATAGTCAAAGTTTACTCCTTTAGGTTCAAGAATGATCTTTGTGGAATCGTTGAAAAAGACTCCAAAAGCATTATTAGAAAGCATGTAGCCTAGTCCATATTTTGTAGAGTAATCTACCCACTTCTTCACCCACACTTCAGGTGGTTTTGAGGTGCTAGTTGCACTTTTAGCTTTGTTAATGAGATTTGCTCCGTTATTCGAGTTTAAATTCTGGTTCCTATCAGTTAGCTTATTTAGTCCTTTTGGGCTAGAGGCTTTAGCAGTCATTGGAACTTCTTTCTTATTTTTGAACTTATTCAAATAGTGTTCAAAGCCTTCATGCTTATCACTTCCTGCAAAACCATGAGCTGAAGTCCTAGCCGTACTTGAAGCAATATTGTACTGTTTTAAGTATGAACTGCTTGGAGGTCAAACCAACAGAGATGAAGGAAGAGTTGTTGGAATTGAGTATCCTGGGTTCAAGAAATCATGGTTCAAAATATCATCAATAGATGGCCTCTTCTTAGGATCTTTAATCAATATCCTTTTAATCAAATCTTTAGCAGCTTTAGAAATTTGGACATGATCAGGAAAGCTATAGGTGTTATTCTTAATTCTTGAATAAGTCTTCTTCACATTTGAAGTTTCGAAAGGAGGTTTTCCGATCAAAAGAGTATATACCACAACTCCCAATGACCAGATATCAACCTCATAAGAATGCCCAGACTTGCCTTCTATAACCTCAGGGGCGATATAATTTGGTGTTCCACAAATGGTTCTCTTCTTTTCGCCATCAAAATCAAGCTTAGTTGCTAATCCAAAGTCTCCAACCTTGATTTCCATTTTTGAGCTGATAAATAGATTACCTAGCTTTATATCCCTGTGGATAACTCTATGGGAATGGAGATACTTTAGAGCTGAAATTATTTGCATGGTCCAGCACTGCACCTCTATCTCATGAAGCCTCTTTCTCCTTTTCAAAAGCTCATTCATAGTTTGATTCGTGCATAATTCTAATGTAATGAAGACGCTATCTGAATCTTCAAAGAAGTGTTCGAAGCCTACTATATATTGATGATCGAGTGACCGATGGATCTTGATTTCACTCATCAACTTCTGTTTAGCTCTAGTCCTAGTCAAATTACTCTTATGTATAACTTTGGCTGCATAGAGCTTATTTATTCTCAAGACTTGTGAACTCATAGCATTTGGCAAACCCGCCTTTACCGATCTGCTTGCCTTTGAGGTATTTCCTGATTATAGTTTCCCCTTTAGACTTCATGACAATTCTTTCTTCTATTATATTTGAAGGGTCTTCTTTTGTATGTAGCTTTCTCGATGAATTCCACCTTCTGTCCATTTTTAACAGATTATAAGCAATATTTTATGAAAATTAGGGGTTTTGGGGTTTTGGGGTTTTGGGGTTTTGGGG